AATAACAGAGGCAAGACCAGGAAGACATAAATACGACCGATTATCTCTGCTCCTCGTATTGAGCTGCATATATCCCTCTCCACTGGCATGACCAATCCAGAAAGATGTGCTCAAAATGACTCCTGGGGGGAATTAAATCCATCTTTTTAATGCCATGAAATCTCATCTTATCAAAGATGTTTTGTCTAGTAATGAGATTTCAATTATGTAACATCACCAAACATTTCTTCTTGATTTATTTTTTATAGTTGTTTGATTGCACAATGTTACACGATGTGCAGTGACCCCAGTGATGTTGACCCTGACATGGTGTCTAGTAGATGGTGTGTGATGTTGACCCTGTCTTGGTGCCTGATGGATGGTGTATGATGTTGACCCTGACTTGGTGCCTGATGGATGGTGTATGATGTTGACCCTGACTTGGTGCCTGATGGATGGTGTTTGATGTTGACCCTGACATGGTGTCTAGTAGATGGTGTATGATGTTGACCCTGACTTGGTGTCAAGTAGATAGTGTATAATGTTGACCCTGACTTGGTGTCTGGTAGATGGTGTATGATGTTGACCCTGACTTGGGGTCTAGAAGATGGTGTTTGATGTTGACCCTGACTTGGTGTCTAGTAGATGGCATGTGATGTTGACCCTGACTTGGTGTCTAGTAAATGGCATGTGATGTTGACCCTGACTTGGTGTCTAGTAGATGGTGTATGATGTTGACCCTGACTTGGTGTCTAGTAGATGGTGTATGATGTTGACCCTGACATGGTGTCTAGTATTTACCAACACTGAAGTTTACCATATTATCATTTGAATAGTTTGAGATCATTCTCGTCTATAATTAGAGTTTTTAAAATTGGAACTTTGTTGTCATTTTTGGCTTTAATTTCGTATATCAGAGGACATAACTTTAACCTCTGGGCGAGCTGTCTACAAACGCACACTTGTCCAGGTGTTATTCTGAATTTCTAGTCAGTTAATATAACATACCTTTTTTAGTTAAGTATTTTTGTATTTACTAAACATTTCTTTCACATTTGACTTACATTTCACGCTTTTGCAGTTATACAAGAACCATAATAATCATTTTTGGTCAATTATATTTATGGGCTTGGATGTCTGACTCATCTCGGTATCCTCTTTTAGCTTTTGTTCATTCTTGCTAATATCATTTAAGTTGTTTGAGATCATTCTCGCCTATAATTAGAGTTTTTGAATTTGAAACTTTGTCGTAATTTTTGGATTTTAATTTTCGTATATCAAAGGACAGAATTTTAACCGCTGGGCGAGTTGTCTACATTTTGTTGTTGTTGTTGTGACGAAGTGACGTCTGTAAAATAAATTTATCATTCATATTTGTACTTTTTTAAGCATTCTTTTCACATTTGACTTACACAATACAAAAACTGTAATTATTATTGTGGTAAAAAAAATCAATCATAGATAGAAGCTTTCTCCTTCAGACATTTCAGTCCTTAGATAGAAGCTTTCTCCTTCAGACATTTCAGTCCTTAGGTAGAAGCTTTCTCCTTCAGACATTTCAGT